GCGATCTCCACTGGGAAAGCATTCGAGGCGACGATGAAAGTGGCCGCCGGTGTTGCTTGTGTCTCGAAGCGGAATCGATTTATCATCTCCATCTTCGAACGGTGATACGAATTGAAGGGAAGAGGCGGTGGAAACACGGTGACTAGCACGAAATAGCGAGCGACGGAGATCGATCATTGCGATGGTTTCGATTCTAATTGAGGGGAACCGCGAGAACGTAAAGCGTTTATTATGATTGCAAACCGCGGACGTGAAATATGGCCGCCCGAGATTGAACGTCCAGCGATGAAACTCGACGAGGGAATAGCATACGGAACGCATCAATCGTTGGTATATCGAACGGTGGAAATGAAGCTTGAGGGAATTTGAATATCAATGAACTGAAACAGCGTGGAATGTACTGTCGACGTGTTTCAACAGTTGAGTTATATTGTCCTGTTTTCCTTTGATATTGAAATTCTTTTTAGATACGCAGGAAGAAATTTTGCATTCTTTATTTTATAGAATTTTGTACTTTTCATGCTTGTGTATTAAGGCAGAGGTTTTATTGTGATTTTCTTCGTTTAGTTCCTTTTTGCAAGGACGTTTAATTAAATCCTATCGATATCTCAGTCGCTAATTCCTCTCATCAATCAGGAGAAGACGGTGCTTCTTAAATCTGTCAATCCGAACGAGAAGGGGATGGAGATGAAAACTGCAGGCCTCGTCGATCAGATTGCACGAATGGGGAATTTTGCAAAGTAGAACTTGGAGAGGTTTAGAAGAGAGCAAAATTTAAATAAATTTTCGTTTGGGAAATAGAAAGACGATCGGATAAGATAAACACGTAGGAGCGACGGAATAGGAATAACGAAGTGAAGGAAAATATGGTAGACGAAATGAAAGACAGGCGTTGGTTAAATGTTGAAACCGAAGATAACACGAAAATTCCATTTTTCTACCATCGTCACCGCCAACTTTTTTGCAAATCTGCCTTGGAATATTGTAAATTACACTTAACACTGTGCCCTATTTTCGATTTGAATTTCAATAGACGAATAACAAAATCTTATTTAGAGATAAGAATCCTTTTAAATTTTAAATCCCACTGCTGCACCGAGTGAGATAAAAAAGGATCACGAAAAGCGATATTGTAATCGTGAATATTTAAAATTCGTATTTATAACGAATAAAAAGTTCGCTGAAACTCCTTTATTCGCAATATACTTTTGAACCTGTTCATAACACCTTTGTAAAACTAGTATTCTAAGTACGTAACAATTGTACAAGTCTTTAGTCTCCTTATCGGAAGATAAATAAAGAGAAACAGCGGCCAACGATCGAAAAGAAACGATTAAAAGAGTTTTACTTCTTTATAGGGTGGCTCGGAGCAATGTCGACGGGAGTGGCTCTACTAGTTTCGCCTGTAACAATAGCGTTTTGTCGAAGAAAAAGTACAAGACTCACCGCGGTTTTGGGTGGCCTCGTTACAGCACTCGGCTGCCTTTTCACTTCTTTCGCCTCGCAGTTCCACCAATTGTTCTTCAGCTACGGCACCGTTGTTGGTGAGTCACTGCAAAAAATATATAAGGCGATACATTACGGGAATTCATTTTCGTTCAATCTCTGTTCGCAGAGAAAAGGAAGATATATTGAATTTCTTTTCAATTTATAAAACATCGTTTATCTTCTTCCTCCGAAGCAATTATGACTCGACTTTCACAACTTTTCATACGTCACTTTCACCCCTCGGAAAAGCTTTAAAGGAGAATACGATTTCCTGGAATAATTCTTTGAAGGAGAAGTTCAGTTTTGGGGAGAAATATTGAGGGATTAGGATAACGACGTGTTCATGAACCGTGTTTAATTACTTTACGCAGGCATAGGGGTTGGCATGACGAGAGACTGCAGCACGCTAATGGTGGCGCAATATTTCAAAAGAAGGAGAGAGTTGGTCGAGATTTTCATCGTGTCCGGAAGTGGCCTTGGTATAGCTGTTATGTCGGCCTTCATAAAGGGAATGATTAGGTAATGTGTCGTAAATCGTGGAAAGCTGAACTTTCTCGAAGTTAAAATTTCACTGCGTGATCAGCAGAATGCGAATTTTTATGCATTTATAGGAAATTTAAAGGTACGAAATTGTAGACAATGCAAGTAATATGAAAATATATCCAAATTATAGTGTTTTCTTTTAATATCTCGTAGGAGAAATAATTTTCTACCGAATTTCTACCTTTTTTGCTACATTCTCAAAAATATAAATTTGCATAAAATCCGCAGTCTAATGGTCAGTAATATTTTTCAAAATTAAGTAATGTGGAGCAAAAATAGCCTAGAATAAATAAAAAAAAAATTGAATCTGCGTAACAAAAATTCTTAAATTAAGGAAAACTTGGAAATATTTATATTCCGATTTCAGTAAAATTGGCTGGCGTTTGGGCCTTCAAGCGGTAACCGGTGTAGTTTTCCTCACATTCATCCTGGGTACCTTCTATCGAAGCGCATCCCTGTATCATCCTCAACGCAGAGCCATTTTACACTTGAAAAATCAGAAGCGCAAGATCAAAGACAAGAACAAAACCGACGACAGGCCACCGTTCTTCGACTTCAGCACGCTGAAGAGCAAAACCGTAAGGATACTACTGGTGTCCACTGGAATATCTGCCTTCGGGATCAACACACCGATATTTTACTTGGTAAAACGCACAATGAGACACGGAAACATTTGCATACACTATCATCCTTTACTCTTCAAAATAAACCTATCTACCCTTAAAAATTGCACTAACTTATTAAATCAGTGCTTGAGTACTTTCGATATTCTAAACGACACACTTAATACCTGTCATACTCTAGCAACATTTTTTCAGAGCAGTATCCACTCGTTATCTGAAGTGTGACAAAAGATAAGGAACAGTGGCAAAAAATACTTCGATTAACATCAAGCACATGAGTTATCCAATATTAATAAATACACTTAACGATAAAGAGCGAAATTACTTAGGCACCGGCTTGATAATCCGTTCCAGACGCGCATTAACTTCATGTGTACAGTTTTAAGACGAGAGAATCGTCGATTAAAATTCCCTCGAATCCGCTGCATTCTTCAAAGATGTTTATCGCGCTATAGGCACATCAGGCAGAAGAAGAAGGCCTCGGAGACACGGTGGTCCTGCTCCAGGCTTATCTCGGTCTTGCCTGGACCCTCGGTTGCGTGGCCTTTGGTCTTTTGGTTGTGCATCGCAGCGTCGAATGCAGGATAGCCCGTCAGTATCTCACACAAGCGGCTGTATTTGTATGCGGATTGTGCATCTTGGCCCTCACCGCTGTTCAAGGAAATTACCACGGATATGTGCTGTTCGCCTGGATTTATGGTAGGAAACTGTCCTTTAAAAAACTGATATTCTCCGGTGAAACGTACGTTCAACATCTGTGCAAATTGCACACCTTATCTGATTCGAATCGCAATCCCTCAATTTCTCTTATTTTAATTCAACCGCAAGTTGTGCGATGTGTACTCAAGTTAAACTGTGAATGCAACGAGATAATTGTAATTTATAGGTATCTTCTGCGGTGGTTATCACTATAGCCTGAAAATGTACACGTACGAAAGAGTGAGAGCGAGGAACTTCGCGAGAACCTGGGGTTTCGTGCAGTGTTCTCAAGCTATACCGATAGCAATCGGAGTTCCAATTTCGGGTAAGCAAGACTCGGTGGAGAGATATTTTAGGAGAAATATCGAAATATCGTCGCGTGTTCTGTTTCTAGGGTACATGAACGTCGGGTGCGGTGGAAAAGCCGGTTACTATTTCAGCTCGACCTGCGTTCTCGTAGGCAGTTTCACTCTGTTCTTCATAGACTTGCACAGAAGAAATTTGTCGAGGCACAAGCACGTCAGGTCTAACGGAACCAAGCATCTCTGCGTCTCAGACAGTTGCCCGCAACGAAGGAAATTGTCGTTCAGTCAGGAGCCAGAGAACGACGGTCCTCATGTGACTGCTGCTGGAGCTGCTGCTGCTGCTCTTGTGCTTGGCGCAGAAATTGCACCGACTCCAGGTAAATTGTAGTCTAAATCGTAAATCACGAATTTTTTGAATTACAATTTCTTAAAAAAAAAAAAGAAGAGAATATAACTTAACCTCTGAAGTTTAAATTCTCATTTATGGGATCACGAAAGCCTCAAAATCCTGATTGAAATTTCCTCTCGCAAACATGTACTACAAATAGCTACCGAATGAAAGTATTCTCCGGCGTAAAAAGGACGAATGAAACAAAATTGAAACGATGATAAATTCGACGTTGTAGGTGAAATGATCGATGCACTGGCCCCAGAGAAACCCGAGCTGACGTGCATTTCCGAGGAGGGAATCGCAGACATGGATCTTCCCGACAACGTTCTCGAGGACTTCGATTACATCGGTGACTGCATAACCTCGTGCAACAAGGTCGAGAATTATCTGATGCTGTCGGAGTTCGAGAACAATTTGATCGCTGAAATACCGATCATCACGGATCGCCGAGGTCGAAGGTGGTCCCTGGCACGTTCGAAGGGCGGTCAATCGAATTTCGATCGACCCGCCTCCCTTCAATCGACAAACGACGAGGCCAATTCCAAGCCTAAATGGCACGTGACGAATGTGCCTCCTAATAACAGGGTGATCACGGTGATCGACGAAGCGAGCGCGTAACTTCGCGATCATATAGATCACAGTTGAACAGATCAAAGGGGGCTGTTAACCCCTTTTTCAAAAAAAAAGTTTCCCAACTAAACTGTACTCGAGATATTTTTTTTAATGTCGCACTCTAACTTTTTGTACATACGAGATTGTCGAGAACTGCTTCGATTATGTAAAAAAAAAAAAGAAGAAGAAATTCTCTCAGTTAATTTACACTCGCATACATAAGTTGAAGCTGTGAAGAAACGTAGACGCTGGAAGAATGGATATTTTATCAATTTTTGGTAAGGATCGATCGATTGCAATAGTACAAAAAAAAAAAAAAAAGAAAAATGAAGTATATTGTCGTACAATTAATATACAGTATGAATCGAAAGATCTAAGGTTTAATTAGAAGGAATACGAAGGTTGATTTTTCTCGTTATCGCGCTGCCTTTAAACGTCAGACTCGTTTGTTCCTCGTTTTTCATTTAACGTATACACCGTTAGAGATCGTATTAGCGATAGTTTGCGAACAGTGGCACGCTAATCTGGACAACGTTGAAACTGTCCCCGAAAGGCGGAATAAGGGATTCCGGTAAAGGGTCGCTTAATTCGCGGTGCAATTAAGGACAATAACGTCGGCTTTCGACGAGAGGAACCACGGAAACGTTCCGTCCACATGGGTATAACCTCGACTCGCGTCGACGTCTTTGTTTTAAGCTTCGTGCTAGTTCACTGCCACACGCGTAGTAGATGCGCGAATTGAATTGAACGATCCTTCGTTGATGATCACGCGAAATTCACGAAGTAACGAATCTTCTTCTCGTTGAAAATAGAAACAAGTAAAGTCAAAGGAAAAGAAACAAAAATCTACGAATCGCAGATTTGACCATTATTTTTCTAAAAAACTTTTATTGACATTCTAAACGAAAGACTGGAACACACGAAACTACATACTGGAACGCTTTCTAATCGCTACGAGGAAGCACACACACGCGCAACAGAAGATCGTTTGATTCATATCGATGTAAAAGAATCGCGACATTTAGAGTCTTCTTCGAGAAGAGAAAAAAAAAAAAACAAGAAGAAATAAACTGCTTACACGTAGGCAAAATGCTAGCTAAAGATATTGAAACTAGTCGAATCGAAATGCTCGTATGCAGCTATAAATGGTAAAATTAGTGTAACGATACGAACAGATATTGTAGCCAGATGGAAGAGATTTATCCTTTGTACCGTGTCGTTCGAAACATTCTGAGAGACAAGCTTTTTTTCCACGTACAAAATTTCTCTCTCTCTCTCCCTCTATGATCGAGCGTGTCGCGAGCGGTACACGCGCGAAGAGATAAAGAAGAAGAAAAAAGAAGAACTATTTATTTATCAAACTATTTATATTAGAATTATACATACGCATGTCATGTACATACACACACACACATACACACTGGTATATACGTGGTAATAAGCGTATAAACATGCGTGTGTGCTATTGTAACGTAGAATTAATGTTAAGGTGCTCCGAGATAGGCGATTAAGAAGAATTACGAAACCGATCGAATAAACAGAAGAAAGACGAAATTTATATAGAGAAACCAGACTGGTGTTACGAGAAACTGTCATATTTTGCCGTTTAGTAGCAACATTTTTTCGTATTCGAGATTTGATTTGAAGATGATTAGATGCAAGATTTAAAAATACTGCCTGACAAGGATTTTCAAAACCGGGAACCAGTTGTATATTGTTTCGGAATAAAATTCTACAGAAAGAAATTCAGTAATAGATATATTGAATTACGTTTATCGTATTATTGTTATCGCGACGATAACGCAAGGCTGCTAGTCGACTATGTTGCACAAACAACACAAAGAACAATAATAGAAGAATTTGTTACACGAAACACAGCAAGACGAAGAAACAACACCGAACGAACTGCCTACATTGTAATATTGTAACGTTGTTAATACAAAGACGTGATTTTACCAAGTACCTCGTTGTTTCTTTCTTCCATGCAGATATAATTTTTTTCAAAAAAGAAAAAATTCATTATTACAAGTAGGGTGTGTTTAAGATTCTTCTGGCTCAATTATGCTTTCCTTCGTTAACCCACTTTGCTTGCATCCCTCGAGAAATGAACTTCTTCGAGCTGAGATAACATTTGCAAAGGTGCTTCTGCCTTGTGCAATGCTTCGTTCTAAGTGAATGAAAGGTAGATATAGAAGAGAGATTTCATTGGTTGGTTGAAGTGAAATTTATCCTCTTTGCAGTCACGTGATCGCAACAGTGTGTGTATCAAAGGAAGATCAATAGTATCGCCGAATGTTCCATTACCGACCGAGTACATAAAGCCGCTAATGCAATTTTAATTACGAATTCTTGGTATGTAACTACCGAACGTTCGTTACGCACGTTGGCATGCGACAATTATCGAGCGCGGCTCAGCGTGAGCTAGCAATACTTTATCGATAAATTCTAATTCGCCTTAGTCACGATCTGACCGTGCCGCAGATGTAAACTTCCACAGATAAATTGCGCGATTTATAACCCGACGATTGCTATTTTCTTATCATCGGACATGCACGATTTGTCTACCCCCGTGGTAAACTCTATAAATGAAAGCTTCGAATAATCGTAATCGTGATGTTCAATGAGATATTCGTGATATTTTTTAATAAATGAAATCTCTGAAAACGAAGGTGACTTGCATAGATCGTTATCGTTATATCCAAAGTGATACTCGTGATTTTTCTGATCGTATCGAAATCACAATTGTTGCAATTTTAATATTCATGATACTGTTTAGTAAATAAAATCTCTGAAAACGGTTATCGTTATATCAAACGTAGTACTCACAATTTTTCTGATTATATCGAAATCATAATTGTGCAACTTTAATATTCGTGATATTTTTAATAAAGGAAATCTCTGAAAACGCAGGTGACTTGCATAAATCGTTATCGTTACATCGAACGTAACATTCGTGATTTTCTTGATCGCACGATAAATGATAAATGATAAAGAAGATTATTCTAAATTTATTCGAGAAACGTTGGAACAGTATTTCATATAATTTCACACGTTGATTAAAATTTGAAAAATATGGAATATGTAATTAATTAATTATACCTCAGAACTGTAACACTTTTGGAAATCCCAAGTGATTTCTGTTAGAAAGGCACACCGTGTGCACGAGAATACAAGGAACTTGATTGAGAATGGGATCAAACGGTGTGTTAATTGCTGTGCAACGCAATCGTGTGCGTTAATAAGTGATCGACAGGTTGCCCAGGGCAAGAGGTATGTCAGCAGAGCTGACGAACAGTCGCTTCAAGGCGCCCCATGACGTAGCCCCAGCCACCGAATTGCGTAGAAAAACGATACCAACGACCTGATCTTATCGTCGAGGTAAGGTGTTAGATTTCTCTGAAAAGGCAAATTTGCATTCTCCAAACTAAACTTTTGATCTTTCTCTCTGAAAAATAGCCTGTGCGTAATTCTCGCGAATATTTGAGAGGCAATCGATTCAAAAGTGACGGCAGTCTAATTAATTTTATCTAACAGAAGGTAATTAGTAAGAATTTTAAATTTTTTAATTTTTCAATTTAAGACAAAAATTAGGAATTCACGTTTTTCTTATCGTTTCAAGATTTCAAGCTTTTTCTTTCTGTTTCCTTTATTTTCTTTTTTCTTCAGGCGTACCATTGCTTATGCAGTGATTGTTAAAATTGTGTCTAATCGTGAAGATCAAGATACGAGGAATTCGATAATATTATTCGATAAGAGAAACGTCATTTTTCAGCGCTCAGAAACGAACAAGTGCCAGGATGCCCTACGGGAAACTCCACGTTCTACCTTTGAGCCTTTTTATCCTGATCCCAGTGACGTTCCTAATTACGTAAGTCTATCAAGTCGAGGACATTTTCTATTTTCTTTCGCACTATGTAGAGTAGCTTAAAAAATCGATTATCTTCTTTCGCTTAATTCCTTTCCAACATCTTAAAACTACACCGATCGACACAGTATTGGACCTGTTAAAATTTAGTCGCGATCGGAAAAATCTTTCAAACTTTTTTACGTCTCGATTTCAGAATAAAATCGAAAGTAAAATAATTTAGGAGAATTCGCTTATTCGTTCAAGAATTTGTCGATAGTAACGAAAGAAGCGAATGCGTCGAAACAATGGTCACCTGTTCGAGGTGAAAATGAAACCATAATCGAAACGCGGAGGATTAATGTTCATCGCACAGTTTATAATCGATCAAGGCTATGGTATCGGAAACAACGACAGCAGTGCATTCTGTTTCTGACGACATGATGTAAATTGCGATTAGTTTGATTCATTATGCTCGGTTGTGTACGCCTCGCGAGAAACATTGTTCTGTAAATAAGACTGCGTTCAATCGTGGACGAGTGGTTCAATGATTTACGGCATCGAAAAGTAACGTGTTCTTTTGTCAAGGAAGAATTATGGCGAGTGTTAAACTGGTTCTATTATAATACCTTGCGTTGCTCTTGCGTAATCGAGCGATATAAAAATAAGCAATCGCTATTACCTACTTAATAGCTTCCATCAACAAACAAACTCGCTTCGTTTAACAGAAAAAAAAAGTAATTATCGCCTGCAACCTGTTGCGTTTAATTATTTAATCATTAGAACTGTGCAAAAGTGTCCAGCTTGTAAATCTAACTAAAAGTAATAGACACTGTATATTCTTGTTTAAATTTTCACTGTTGACATTTATGATAATACTACTTTGGAAGTGACGTAGTGTAAAGTTGTTTAATAAAAATATATTTATTCCAATCCGATAACGCTTAACCTAATTTTGAAGTGTAGGCGACGCGAGTCTACGACAAAAAGCCTCGTGCCTTTTTTCGGGGCTCCCTTAAGTCGCCCCTTTTCCCTGGAAAAGTCCCAGGAAGTTGGGGCGCAATACTCTTGTCCTCGAGGACGAAGAAACTCGGAGATGTTTAGAAAACCATCTCTCGATTCTCCGCCTCGAGGGTCAAGAGTCGCCAGGCCTAAGTGCGTGGCCCCCCGTAGCGGTCGCCACACTATAATTAATTGAATATTGTGAATATTATTAGGGCATTCCTTAGTTCGTCTCGAATTTTATAATTTCGATCGATATTTCCTATTGTTTTTGTAAAAAAAACAAATATTATAATATTATATTTTTTTATCATGTCGTCGCTATAGAATTTCCTCGGATTTCCATTAAAATATATAATACGATATAATACGATGCAAAATGTTGCAATAACATTTGCAAGTTGAACAAAGAATAAATACGAATCCAATCGAAAGTGTTTTTCCACCAAAATGTATCGAACTTTGCGCAATCTTAGCACTGAGACAGCGTTGTGCACGCTTTAAAAATGCATCTCTCAAATTCCTCGCATTTCAGGTACACTATATCCGTGCAATGGGACCATGTGGTGCCAGGATTCCCATACATATCGGAAACGGGTACCCTGTCTCCGGAATCGTGTATATTTGCTCAGTTTCTTAACATAGCAGCGTTACTCCGTAAATGTCGACCAGTTTTCACATTGAAACACACCATACAGGCGTTTCGTCGAGCTAATGGCAAACCGCGTGTATTTTAGTCGCCTGTTGCGTGTACATCAGACATCGACAAGTTTCCCAATGGCAGTTGGAAAGGGGCAACGATCTCGTTAGCAGAAGAATCGTTGTTGTGACGGCTTGGTCTGGCGCTTTAGCCTGCTTCGGCCTCGATATTCTTGCCAATTTTCAAGAGGCCCGCGTAGTCGCGGCTCACATGATCGGAGCTATGACATGTTTCTCCGCTGGAACCGTGTATTTTTGCCTTCAGGTACAGTGCATCTCGTAATAATTATTTAACGCCGTTTCGTATCACGCGAATCAGCGGTGACTCGTTGAAATTCGAAGTACCATTTTTATTGCGTAGATAAAGATACTTTTGGTGTACAAAAAAGTGCAAAAGGAGAATAGAGTATCGTAAATACGCCAAATTAAATACTCTAATACATTTTCACTCTATTCCGACGAACGTGTGAAAAATTTAAAAACAAAAATGTCTCTTTTCACCCGCACTAAATTTTCGGTAATTATTTCCTGAATTTTTTCACACGTAAAATGAATATTAAAATAGAAAAATTCGAGGAATTTTATATGTAATTAATTCGACATTTTGCAGACGTATTTGAGTCACAAAATGATACCAGCAGTAAACGGCAGAATCGTGGTTTACATTCGCGTGGCTCTTTCAGTAATGACGTTAATTTTAACTGTAGCCACGATCATACCCGGCTACATTTCAATGTTAGAATTTCAAGGTAACGTTTTCCCATTACTCTTATCAGCGACACATGTAAATAGACGTCGATGCAATAATCCGTTTTCTACGTTTCAGGTAACGATTACAAGAAATGGTTGCCAACCGATGGTGGCTGGGGCTGGCACGTCGCTAGTGCCATTTCTGAATGGGTTCTAGCGATTGTCTATTGCGCTTTCCTTCTCACATTCGTACCAGAGTTTCGATTAATCAACTTCGAGGATCCTGTGGTCACGGTATTTCCTCCTCGTGTCGTCATCTCTCTTAATAACTAGAAACACTCGTCGCTCTTTAGATCTTTCTATAATAGATCTTCAAGCCTCTCCCCGGTCGTATCTTAAAATTGCAAACAACCGATAATCAATATTCGACGAATCTCAATCGAAGTAAAAATGAAAACAACGTTAAATCAATTTCGTATTGATCTTCGAATCCTCTTTTTTTCCAGCTGATATATCTAGACAAGGATCAAGGCGCGATACTGTCGCACAAGTTGAACCAGCAAGTTCAAGGCTCCTAAAGGCACCTGGAATATTCGAACGCCAAAAGCGTCAGTTACTCGGAGGGTTAAGTATCAAATCATGTTCCTCTTAAAAAGCTCATTTAAAACTAATTTCAACTAGTTGCAATTTATTTGAATTACTTGGTCAATTGGCCATGCCTTCCGCGCGTTACATATTCCGTACCATTCGCGCGGCGTACATTCTGTTTGCTTTTGTCCGCTGTTATCCAGCAATTTCTCCATTATCTCTCAAACGGACCGCGTTATCACGATTCACACTTCCGTGGCCGACAGATGCCGACGTTTCTTTATTCTTCGACTCGATAAAACGCGCCACGTGAGATTCGTAATCTCCGATAAAGCTGGATCGACTTAACGCAGGAGTGTCGGTCGTTTCCGCAAAAAAGAGAAAAAAATGTAACGTCCCCGAATCAACGTTGAAACTTGTGATCGCCTGTAATCGTTTCCCTCACCTGACGACACTCACAACACCTGTTTACCAATGATAATCGTACATTCGCGTGTACTTACTCGTCGAACGAACGTGATTTATCTTTCTCTCTGTTCGACCGAATCGAGGTTCTGTGTATTCGAGCGATGCAAGAGGAGACTCTTGCCCCCGAAACTAGTTTCTCGCGGCTAAAGTTCAAGGATGTTAACCGACAATCCTGGCGTCGCCGATTGCCACTCGACACTCGTGTCTTTCTAACCAAATTCGAAAGTCCTCGCGAAACCTGGTAAATTATATCCAAAAAAAAAAAAGAAGAAGATATCCTAAACGTCTCTCGCGACTTGGATGAAGAATAGCAAGAAGCCAATATTTCTCGAGCAAAGAAGCCTGTCGTTTAGTCACTCGAGACGAACGTGTCGAAGAAGTCGCGTCTCGATTACGTTCGATTAGCACACACGAATACTCGCGGCAGCACGAGTTCGAAGAAACAGGAAAGGAAGCGAGTGAACCAGGGAAAGGTTGTAAATTCGGTCGTTAAACGAGCGGAACGATTAACCGTTGATTGGTGCACCGGTGTCGATAATCAGCAGACACCGTACATACATTAATAAAGGTACGTTCGTCGAGAAACGTGGCCAGATAAACGTTCTTGGAAGAACGTCGAACAGCGAAACGACGTCGGCGTCAGTCTCGTGGCGCAGCTGCCGAGAGCGCCGTTCTCGTTGGCACAACGCATCGATCGCACATAGTCGGCCATAACCTCTGCGATTCTGCCCACTCTTAAACAAAAGCTGTTCTGGCCTTTCAAACGATAACCCCGGAATCAATGGAAACGGTGAAATTCGACGAAAAATACAGAATCGAGTAGAATTTCCGCTATCGTTCAACGTGTACCATCGTCGTGAACGAGAAAGAGAGAAAGTGCAAAGTGTCTGCTGTTGGCTGCGCTAAGAAGACCTTCAACCGTGTGCAGCCCCTTTCGACAGAGTTTTCAGTTTCAATCGAAACACGGCAACCATTGACTGCATCGTCGTCGACGAGACATCGAAATTGTCCAAGGTACGGATAGCTCATTTCCTGTCGCACCAGTCAGAAAATTCGACTGTTTTCGATTGTCGTTGCTACGTAATTTCGACTCCGAGTCGCGCAACATGGGTTCCCTTCCCTCTCTGTACTGTCAGACAACGCCCGCGTGAGAATGTTCACAGGCGTTATTCGAGGGGTGTCATTCTCCGTTGTCGACGGAACACTCCCATTTCACGTGTGTCACGACCACTTGGTGCAGCTTTCCTGCTGTTCAGATATCGCGTACGCGATATTTCTGGCGCGAGTCTCGTGGACTAGATTCTCGATCGTAACGCGTGTATCTCGTTCGGTTGAGAGAAGAAAGAAGAAAAATATCGGATAGAATTGAGCTCTCGACGAACGGTTTCGTAAGTTCATTTTCTTGTTGCACCGAAACCTTCGTATCTGGGGATAATTGTTACATGTGTAACGTTATCTATCTACGGAAGTGTATTTATAGATAGAGCTCGTTAACGGAATACAACGACGTCGGAAATAGCGCGAGCACGTTTCACACCGACCTGTCACGTGACACTTTGTTGTTTCTCTGATTAAAAGGTAGGTTCGAAGAGGGACCATTTGATGGCAGTGGAACCGCAGTGCGGTCGTAGACAGACAAGTTGCAGCGAGTGATTCCACAGGGAAGAAAGTGGAATAAGAGGTCCCCGGTGTATTGGAACAGACGAGCATGAGTGTTCGTGGCTCGTGGACGCGTGCAACGACGCGTGTGTCTCGTCGATAGCGGCGTCGCCCGTGGACGTCTTCCTCTGACGTCATTGGTTCCGGCGGGAAAGCCGACAACTACCGGAAACGCACACCGGAATCATGAACAACGACGATTTTCTGGTCAACCTCCATTATCTGCCGATCATACTCTTCATCTCGTTGCCTTCCGTTTTCGTTCTCACGTAAGTTCTTTTGTCGTTTGTTGTTCTTTAAACGGGATCTACCGGCGAGAATTGTAATTAAAGCGGAGGAACAGTTCGACCAAGTGGAACTTTTTTATCGAGAATTGCATCGATATTTGTTTTAACGTTTGCGTGGCATTTTATTCGATTTCCGACGAGTATTTGCAAGCCGACGCACATCGTGCAATTGTATGCAAAGCGCGGTTTAAAGTATTCGTCGTGTGGAATATTTGGATTGCAAATTCTGACGAATCTGCATGTCGAACGGGGAAAGTTGGCCTGCAGATTTTAATGCTCGGCCGTGAACAGATATGAGGACAATTTGCAATAAAAAGTATTCCTATGTCACGAGTGTGTTTCGATTAAAATTATAGTTAGAAAAGCTCGTTGTAAAGTGATAAGTGAAGAAAGCTGCGAAGATAATTGACATCTGCTATTGTCGCCCATTCGTATAAGGAGATTAAAAATGAATTAGCATTCGCTGATACATAATCCTCGTCAACTTAGGTTACTTTGCATACCGACGAATATGTCGACACTTTTTCAAACACCTTAGCATATTATTTATCGCTAAACACTGCTGTTAACACGTTGACTGGCAAGCTACGAGATAACTCGTAGTTGGCAGTTTGCTGGTAGAAGTCACATCCTATTCGTAGACGCCCGACCACGAGATAATTCGAAAGCATTTTTTTACAAAAAAACAATTAAAATTAAAGTCATAATATAAAAATTAATATGTGTTTGTTTAATTCTATACAATAAATTGCAAAAGAAATGTTGGCGTCTAGAACAGATTTCTTCAAAATAGGCTCGGCAGTCAACGTGTTAAATGTACAAAAAAATATCTGTTTCGCCGAATTTTCATTACCTTCGATGGTACAAAAAAAAAAGATTGATCGCCTTTCACAAATCACCGTTCGAATGATAAATACATGTTTACCTGGTGTGTTCGCAGTTATGTAATAGCGGCAGTATTAGGCCACGTGGAACCTGACTTTCCTTACATCTCGGATACAGCAACCCATGCACCGGAAAGCTGCATATTCGCGCAGTTTATCAACATGATCGCGATGCTCAGTGAGTGCACCACATCGTTGAATAAATTTGAATTTCGGATGCTTCTCGAGCGAAGGAAATCGATTGACACCTCGCACGTGGTACAGTGACCTCGATTCCCGTTCGCAGGGAACACACCAGAGTTTCGTGGAGTCAAAAATAGCGCTTTGTTTGAAGAACGAAGCAACGATTAAGTTATCAAACGGTTGAATTGTTTCAGTGTCTTTTGTAGTCTACATAAGGTACTCCCAGGTGAAAGAATGCTCGAGTACCTTTAGCCTGCAAGCTTCTCTGCCAAAATGGAATCATTGGGCGTTAATATTCGGTCTAACGTCTACATTCGGCCTCTCGGTTGTCGCAAATTTCCAAGAGACTTCCGTGATAATTGTGCATTTCATCGGCGCTCTCCTCTGTTTCGGCTGTGGCACCGCGTACTTTTGGACACAGGTACGTGAACAAAAGCTGTCGTTCGAATGAAAAACAACTCGCGACCAGAGAACATCGCGAACTTTCGGAAATGTCATCCCTTTTAAAAAGCAGAAAAAAAGAAATCTAACATTTTCCGTCTTTATAATTACTTTTTAATTCAGTCTGCCGTACAATTCGCCAACTTTGAGCATTCATTTCTATTCCGACCGAATTTTACACAGCCCGTTGCAATGCAGCTTTAGAAACTTTCCCTCCCTGAGAAAAAAGTTTTCAATAAAACTCTCCTCTGTCCCGACAAAGGAACGAAAGTTAAAACTGAATTGAAAGGCCATGAATAAAACGCCAATGTCGCTTAATTGGATCGCGCCAAATGAAGTCTGATTCGTGGCTTGCGTAATTTCCTGAAAAGCTGATTTATCCGTGGCGCCTTATTGTCTTCCGAAAACACGAGGCTCTCCCTCCGTAATTCTCATTTTTTTTTCTCTCTTCTTTCTCTCCTTTTTTTTCCACGTGTTTTGTTCGCAGGCCATGTGCTCGTTCTACCTGCATCCGCTCGGATGTTCGTTGAGACTGGCCCATCTTCGAACGGCATTGTCCAGCTTCTGCACCGTTTGTTTCATCGTCACCATCATCACCGGCGTGCTGGCACACTTGGCCTATAAGGGTTAGTTCGTTGCGTTTCCCTTCCGCGATCGTCGCGTTCTTCCGTCACGCATTAACGAGCATATCGATCCTTTCGTTTTCAGGTACGAATCCACAAAAATGGTACAAAGGAGACGGTGGATGGGAGCTGCATGTAACTAGCACGATCACAGAGTGGCTTTGCGCGATAGCTTTCTGCGTCTACATTCTGACGTTCAGCAACGAGTTCAGGGATGTTAAAGTCACTCATCCAAAGGTAGATAGTTTCGTCTGCTTTTTATACGATCATTCGGGGGGAAATTGAAGTAACGCGTGACTGTCTCGAGTAAGATGAAATTTCAGGTGTGAAGGAGATTAGGGTTGAATAGTTGAGAGTTGAAATCTCGTGAATTATAATTAGATTGAGGATTTTTATGCATTTATGGAAAATTTGAAGGAACAGGAATAGGCAGAATGCACGTAATAAGCAAAAATATATAAATAAACCCAAAATATAGTACTCGTAATATTTCATGAATAAAACAATTGCCTATCTAGCTTTGTTTTTTAAATTATATATTCATCAAAATCTACAGTCTAATCATAATAAAGTTTCGAGAATAATTTGATTTCCAACAAAATTGCTTCCTCGTAGATTTTACATAATAACAATGCTCCAAACATTCTAACCAGAGTTAAAAAAAAAAAAATTTTCCCTCGGTGTCCGACATTAAAACAGATACAAAAATGTGAATACCAGAAATGTTACGATCAATGAATCCCGCGCTGAAATACACGTGTACAGTCTCGAGGGGACTGCATTAAAGGTGACGGCCTCACATCTGCTCGATTTTTCAATTCTTAAACTTTAACGCCTCGTACACCACGACTAACTTCATTTCTACCCCGTCACGCTACAGTTGGTTTAATTTTTCTTTACTAACAAAGTTTATCATCCTCTCTGCATTCAGGTCGTCTGCACCCTGACTCGAACCAGACTGAGCAACGAGGCGTTGAACGAGAGCCAGGACGCCCGAATTAGTCACAGCGGAGGCACAAGAACGGTCACTTGATCGCTCAGCAGAGGCGCCGGTGGCTACGTCAATCTCCTTTCGCACTCTCCAGTGAACACTCCGTGTCCCGGTTACAGGTACCGCGACTCCTGCGAACCCCTTATGGACGAAGTCGCGCCGTTGGTCGCGACCACGCCACCAGCGATCAGCAAAGAGAGAACCGACGTCCTCTGCCCGGTGCAAATACACGTGCAAGACCCGACTATTCGTGAACGACGACGACAGGCCAGCGAACAGGACGAGGCTGAATACAGACAGAAATGGGGCGAGGATCCTTCGAAGAAGTGGATCGATCTGGACGAGAACGTCTTGGATGGTTACATACTGATAGACGACGCGTGTCTCGAATCTGGTATGGTGCCGGACGAAACGCAGGAAGCACCTTATCCAGAGGGAGCTATAGAGATGGACGACGACGACGAGGACGCAGACAGCCACGGCAAAGACGAAACGTCGATTTACGGTAGAACGAGGCGAGAAGCGTCGAGAATGCCTCGAGAAGACGTGGATTTCAGCACGACCTATCCTCTCGCTAATAGTCACGGCAACGCTTATCGAGAATCTAGCAGTCACACCAGATACAGCGAATTGTATTCTGAATTGGCTGTTAAAAACTATCTGGAGGCGAATCGAGAGGAAGTGGCTAATTATTCCGTGGCGAACAGTCACGGTGATCAGAGCGTGTCGTCTAAGAACAGAGAACGAAGTTTCAGGGAGCAAGCTGAGAGCGATCAGATGGTATGGGACACTAGACAACATGGGAACTACGAGGTGGCTAATAGTCATAGCAATTACAGAGTATTCTACGACAGCCAGACGCATCAGAGGGAAATGTTTCAGGCAGGTGGATGGCCGATAGTGTCTTGGCCTGAACACGTGTTCGCTAATATTCAGGTAACGGAAGATCAGAAGCAGAAGTCGGAAAACACTGGTAACGTGGTAGAAGATAATTCAACGAAGGTTAGCCGATCAAAAACGAAAAGTGGATCCAGCGCTGAGCCAAGCTGTGACATCGAACAGTGTTTGGTTCAGATCGAGGAGAGTCTTTTGAACATCGAGCAAAATCTGCTTCACGTGCAAGAGTTAGATATACCAGAGTTGAGGAATCTTCTGTACAAAAGTCCGAGTATCGAGAAGAGCCTGTACGAGGTCCAGGATCTTCTCTACGCCGATGGTATTGTTCCTGTAATAAGCAAACGGAAGACTTCGACTATCGAATCCGAAGACGAAGACGAAGATGAAGAGGAGGTAGAAGAAGAAGAAGAAGTGGAAGAAGTGTGGGTAGGTCGCAATATAACGGTAAAAAACAATGACAACGAAGACGACGACGCTGGTGCTGGAGCTTTCGACGCCTCGAACGACGAATCCTCTGACAAGGCTAACGTGGAGGAAAACAATCAGTCAGGATCGGTTGACGATCGTTCGAACGGTGACTGCGTGGACGGTTCGACAGTTTTCCGAGAAGAAGCCGCTGATCCTAATTGCAACGTGAAACCGATGAACTTTATCCCGAACAGTCTGAACAAAACCTTGCCCAGAAGAATAGTTCTCGACGGAGCCAAAGAAAACATCAGACTTTGTTCGTCGGGACCTGAAGACACGACGATTATCGACTACAATCTGAACACAACGTGTGCCGAGAAGAAACTGTTCTGTCGCGACAAGTGTCACAGTAGAACGAACTCTTTGGACGAGAATTCGACGTTCTCGAATCTGGATTCTACGGACAAACGCGAGACTGGGAAAAGCTCTCTGCAGGATTTGCTGTTCGAAACGACGAACGGCAACTTGTTGGACCTCTGCGGGAAAGCTAGATCGGAGGAATTGCTTCAAACGCCGCAGAACAAAACGGCTAGAGCTGGCAAACGGGAATTGAACAGGAATCGTTTGAGCATCATGGAGGCGAAAACGGAGGACTTCTGGAAGAAGCTTCAGTCTATCTCTTCGAATCGACGCTTCGCGAACGAGCAGAAGAAGGCGAAAATTTCGAAAGAACCGGCCGTGAACTCGACACGTCCGCGTGAAAGGTCGCCCAACAGAACGAGGTGTGGCGCGGCTTCCTCGGAGAAGAGTCAGGATAAAGAGAAGGAGTCCGGCGGTAGTGGTAAAAGTTCCGACAAGAAAAAACGAAAGAAGTCGAGCAGAAGTAATAGTTCCTCGGAGAACGCGATAGTGTCTAGCAAACTGATCTCTCTCTCGGTGTCCATTGTCCTCGCGGCTCTGTTGCAAGTGATCAGGTGTCTGACAGACCTGATCGAAGACGCGTTCAGATCGGTCAGCTACGACAGAAACGGTCTATTGCAATGAAGCGGCTGTATAGATCGCGAACGATCGTTTCCGTTTTTTCTTCTTTTTTTTTTCGACGCGAGGACGTTTCCGTTAGAAGACGTAGTTAACGTCCACGACGAAGTTGTCGCGTGAGAGAATGATAAACGTTAGATGGCACTAAACTACACTTACTTTTCGTCGCACTCCTACTCGAACAGAGAAAAAAAGAACCACCTCGTTTACAAATTCTTCCCGTCCAAGACCAGATATATTTCTGTCAAGGTGATTTCTATCGGTGTTTATCGATGTTCTCTTATCGGGTTGCCTGATCTTACGACGAAACCGACGAATCCTTTTTTCTTGTTTTTTTTTTTTTATCGGTGTTAGACGTTTAGACATTTCGCCGGAGTGTGATTAGCGGTTGCAGTATCGCATAAATAAAATGTCGATACGTGACGTTCATGGGAGGCGTCTTGAAGCAGTACGTTAGACAGTAGCGATAGGAATGGAACATAGCAGACACGTCGTTCTACTTTATCGAACAAACCAGACCCATCATCGAGATACGTCAAGTTAATTGATCGGTAACGAGAGACATAGCTATACACTGGATACTAAGCATAATCTATGTCACCCACGTGAATATTCGTCTAGAACTTCCGAACGTTAAACCATAGATAATATGTATATATATTCGTGTGCCTGTCTTCTTCTAATCGTCGACGATACGATGCACATGATCGAACTTGATCCGTCTTTTTCCAGTCACCTTTTCAGAAAACCGAGTAAAACCTGGTCTTGGAAATCACAGAGAGGGAAATATACGGTCATCCTAATCCAGAGACTTCCGACTACGGAGAACCTATAATTTGCAACCATAAACGTCCAGAAAGCTACAGCTGATGTCTGTGATAAACGCTCTATGCTTACGATCCACAGTTATGTTTTAACACGGTTACGCTTCCAAATACGAGACAAGAAGTTTAATTGTAGGGGAAAAAATATACGATTCGATTGTTGGGTATAAAAGAGAGATTCGCGGAAGAAAGACGATAATAGACAGAGATTTCTTCCTGTTCCATTCTTTTCATTTTCTTCTTCTTCTATCCGAAACATCGAGGAATTCATACGAATCGAAAGGTGCTACCGCGTGCAATCGTCGAGAATACATATACGAGAAGTTTGCGCGTAACATAAACCAAAGAGAGAGAGATAGAGAGATAGCGAGAGGATGTACGAATCCTATCGGGAACGCAATCAGAACTTTCTACGAGCTTCCAGGGAAGGTGTTTACGGATCGCTAGACGGGTATGTGCCAGAAACGATGATACAGCGTGAAACGATAGTGCACGATAATAGAAAGAAGAATATCGACGAGATAATTCTTATCGACGGAGCAAAGTACGGGCTAAGCATGTTTAAACGGTGTTTAACACCGCATACGTAACGTTCTAAAGTGCCTAAAACTCGTCGCGTATCGCGGGTACGCGAGGTGCAGTACATATTTGTCTAATTAATTAAACTTACAAACTAACGATTTAACGCTACCTTATGTCTACCTATCGTAAGCCTCTTTTTTCAAGGTGTAACACGTTGCCGAAGAGATTAAGAGAAATGAAAAAGAAATTAACGAGAGAGAGAGAGAGAGAGAGAAATGAAAAATAAAGGAAAGCGGGGCAAACTGGCGAGAACGCTTTAAAAAAAAAGAAAAAGAAACGCGTTGTAATCGCTTCTGTGTTTTTCAGTCACTTCATCACACACCCTCTCCTGCCTGTTCTCATTTCCTCTCCTATCCCTGTGGTCCAACTCGCGGTGCAAACCGCAAATGGTTGAAGTTTAGAGCACCCCTCAAGCTAAGCAAATTAATTTCACCAGGGTAGAGATTATCAGGGTCTAATAAGAAAGTTCCTGACGAAACTCGCGAAGCCAATTCGATCAAGTTTATACTCGAGTGCACGTTGTTAAAGTTCTCGAGTAAAACCCTTTAAACGGTCGTCGCGAGTAAATCTGGATAGGTGAAAAATTTTATAAATTCAATTGAAATCTCTGTTTTTGTTTGCTGACGCGTATTCGGTCACACACGGATTATCCTCCTTTCACGGACACTAATATAAGAGGATTAAAATCCCTTTCGTCAAGCGTTCGTTTCACGGGTACATAAAGGTTTAACAGTAATTCCCTAGTTGAAATCTACCAAGTGTCGTGTCCAATTATTCCATGATTTGCTGGAGAGTTGACAAATCCCCCCCCGAAAAAGGAAGATTCAATCGCACAAAATAGTACGTTTTTATGTTTATATAAAATATTAAGGAATATATAGGAGACATATATCGAAGAACTGTGCTAATACCGTTTATAGGTGTAAAGAAGAAGAAAAAATGTTATAAAAATGTAAGTTCTGAAATGCTTTATTACCAAGTTATAATAAAGATATGAAAGACTAAATCAATACGATATACGAGCAATTCGTTCATTCTAATTTCTCAAATCTTTTCTGAATATTAAATAAAAAAATAAATAAATTCCTTCAATTTTCCATATCAAAATACTGTCAGTACACTCCTTCTTTCTATTCTTACAACGAAAATTACTTCCTGTTCAAAAATTTTCTTATATCTTTTTAATAAAGCACTTCTACCCCTATATACACGTATACAACATTTTTTCCGCATTTCTATTCTGACACGGTTCGATCGCTCAACCTTGGGACACCCTGTACACACTCTCACCGCAGATTGATCGTCCCTTAGAAATAGCTGAGATAAAAAAAAGAAATCTCGAGGATCAGATGTCCCAAGAAAGAGAGGCCTTAACTCAGGATTCCATTAGATTGCACAGCAGTTACCCCTAATCGAGAATCGCGTTAGTCCCTTTTTCCGCTAGAGATGCTGCTACCCCTGATTCTCTGTCACGAGATCATCCAAAAAAGCTCCCGCTACCCGTGCTGTTTGCAATTGGTATCCGCGAAGGGACGCACGGGGCGGGAGCAGTATCGATCGATACCACTATACGCTCATCGCGTATGACAACGGAGGTCGTGGGGCTATAGGAACGAACCTCTATCTTCCGAACGTTTCCACGCTCCGTATATTGTCATCTATTAGAGCAACGTTGGGGCTCATCTCTACAACCTTCCATAACCCTTATCTCTCAGATCGTTAATTTCGGTTAGCAGGTGACCACCAGCGGACCAGGCTCCAACGATCCTCGAACAAGGACAGTCTAAACGTGTGCCGGTAATTACGAAATTGGTCTGAGTGAAAAGTGGAGTAAAATTGAAATTATCAGTTGTTTTGGGTTGAGTCGATTTATATTAGAACGATATTTGGAAAATTGTCGGAGAAAGTTTAATTTTTTGGAAAGTCTGAAATATACGACTTGGGATAGTTTCATAATTACGAAGTATCTTGGAGAATGAAATGAAATGATATTTTGTGAGAAATAGGAGAGTACATGGAAATTCTTGAGTGGTAATAGTATTAAAATTCTGTTCCTAATAAAAGTGAAATAGAGAATAATCTCTTGACATCTTTCATTTGCAAGATAAATTGCAATATAAAAATTGTTAAAAATATTGAAAATGACCATCTTTTTCACGTACAATTTCTATGAACATTGAGTTTACTACCTCCAGCGTCTCCAAATGAACTATTCACATTTTTCAACTTGAACGGTTTCAAAAAATCGACAATCCCTACGAACTCGCGAAATTCATGCTCTAAAGTAATACTCCACTCCATGTTAACTGCTAAACTGACTCCACCCGAATGCGTCGTACTTCATTCCCGAGAACCCGTTTAATAAACAAAACTAACAACGAACTGCTACCCTTCGGAATTTCACAGAATCATTTTCTTCCGTAAGACAGAACTTACGGCACGACTGTGTACAGACCGATCGATCTTACAATTATCTCATAGCGTAGCCGCCGGTTTAATTGATGCGGCGGCTTAATCAACCCCCTGGACAGCTGTCGAGAAGCTGAAAGTTTCGGGTGAAAAAGTTTTCCACGGCCACGGACAATCTGATCACGTTCGATCCAGCTCGGAGGAGCAGGGCAGAGGAGAGAAAAAAAGACGCCGCGGCGCTCCATATTCATGCCGCTCGATCTGCGGCTAGAATTTTCAATTAAGACCGCGAGTCCATTGTGAGGCGCGCGGGGAACACACTCGGAATACATTAAAACGACAAACGGCAACGGGGACACAACGCTTTCCGTTCCTCTTTCTGCTTTTACGACGCCCTCGGACGGTTTACGGAATTCTCGAACCGCAACGTCGCGTCGGCTCATCTCCTCGCTCACGGATATTGGCCGCAGCCCTTGGAATCGTCTATAACGCCGCGATATTGCCATCCCCCGTCGGATATTTATTACCCACCTCTATATCAGGACAAATAATATTCTTAGAGCACGCCTCCCCGTGGAATATCAATCGTTTAGAGAGCTTTTTCAAAAGAGAGAGTTCTTTTTGGTCCAGTTCGTTTCTTACAGTGTGCGGTAGGCAGGCGACGTAAAGGGTGCATTTAGGGGGGACGTCGCACGCCTAATGCTGAAATATACCTCCGGTGAAAATAAAATCGAAGTTCCCGTTAGATAAGTCACCGGCCGGAAATAACCGGAAGGCCTTCAACAACGCGACCAAGTATAATACTTTGCTCGGGGATACACAGCGAGTTACTTTCAGGCTGATCCCTGATAGCGCTGAATTATACAGGATTATAGAAATATATGCAGGGTTGGTGCAACCTGAGAAAAGGATGAATTTATGAATATGAAGAAATGCAATCGAAAATGTGGAAGAATACTTTTGCGAATAAATCGATATCGAAGATTCGTCAAATGTGTGCATTTGCATACACTTCGGTGGACGGTTTTTCTGCGCGAGAATAATTTTCTCTTTGAACCGTTCTTTATTTGTATTCTTGTTGCGGTATGAGGGAGATTTGATGTGTCTTTATGAATTGAGGGATCGCAACGGGCAAGTGTTTTACCGGAAGCGATATTGATTCTTATTTTTATTTTGTTATTTATCTTTGAGTATCTGATAAAGTCAACCTTGCTGCAGGTAATTTGCTGTGATATTTAGTAATTATTATTAGACGCATGTGAGGTTATGCGTAAGTGCACGCGTTCTCAATTAATCTAGATCTCAATGAAGCTTAAAAAAATATCGACATACTTTGTTCCTTCAAATTCGCCGCTTTTCGAGTTGCATTATTAATTCAGAGACACGCTGTGTGTTGATAGAAGCCGGTGCAAAATTTGGGAGATATGAATATCAGCGTGTGTGCGTTAATAGAGTTGCGACTCGGGTCGTCATTTGCACGATTCAGCCTTACGCGTGGGAATATTGTTCTTAAATTGCCATCGTTAGCATCTGACTTGAAACTGATTGCGTCAATTCGGTGGCTGTCTCGGTAATAGAGTGGGTGTCAGCTCTGTATCTAGATTTTGGCAATCGTGGAAATGAAGCTGAGAAACATCGCTGAGCATTTATGCGCCGTGTGGTTTAACGTTTCCAGCTAAATTGATCCTATTATTTGAA